CATGTTGAGGTGTTGTAAACTTGATTTTCCTACTCTTCACCAACAACTTCACAGGTCTCAAGGAGTATGTATGCTTGTACTTGAACTTCCAATCCTTTTGACACATCATCTGTTTCTTCTTACTACACTCCTTTAAAGATAAAACCATTTGTGGCCTCCCAAGTCCTTCCCTTGACCTCATAGCAACTGCATTTACCACTTGATCTTGCCCCACATAACTTTTCTGAAACCCATCAGCAAAAGCTCTGAACCTTTCATTCTTCTTGTGCTTATACTTCCAAGTTCTTAAAAACTTCTTTCTTCCATTGTCTTTCAGTTGGCTGTTTTTACCAAGAATGGTATCATCCCAGTGTGTTAAAGATTGTATATTATGTCTGCTTCTCCAACCATCATGTGGACACAAGTACTCCACTAAGCCAACGTTGACACCCACAAATGAATGGTTGGATTTGTTGGACTCTCTTACTCTGCACGTGTAACAACCATCTTGTGGAATGACTCTCACCTGACTCATGGGTTTATATTTGAACATCCACGACTTAGGAGCTACAATCTGTTTCTTCTTTTGATGTAGCTTGTGTCTTCTCAGAAACAATTGATCAAACACATGGTGAGCAAGAGATTTATCCTTAACATCTGTCGATTTATAAGATATCTTTTCCATCTGATGATGTGGGATAGACATCCTCCAAAGATCACAATCATCAACCAAATGTAGATACCACTCCAACAGATTTCATCACTCTCTGATCCTTCACGTAAGAATTGAGATTACCGCTCGGATTCTTCTGAATCTCCTCCATCATCTTCACGTAATCAGGCTGTTTCAGAAAGCCACTCGTCGTAGGATCAGAGACAAGCTTCGTCCACATCTCTTTACCTTTTAAAGAACTATGAATACGATTCAATCTTGAAGCTCGAGCATCGGCTACTCCTGATCTCAACGCCTCGTTGCTTAGATCTCCGGAGCTCCGATCGTTTTCGATCCTAATCTCGTCCTCCATAGCTTCGCGATATGGCCGGTGATATCATCGGACGAGATTTGGAGAAAAAAAATATAGGTTTGATAATTGAATTGTGGAGGGGTAGAATGGTATTTTGCATATCAACTTTTTAGTGGTAAAATTGGTTAAGGTAAAAATGAAATATGGTACTTTGAAAGTGGTAGATTAGGTAAATTCCCAAGATTCTTTAATACTATATGTCACAAAGCTTATTTCGACTTATTATCAAATGTATCAAAAGTATTTGCACTAACATATCTATCTATCTATATATAAAGTTGAGTAAAATCTCTCCTAAACACAACACCTCAGCAAACTATAAAATCTTTACAAAATCTCTCATATCTTTTATTTTCTTAATATTTGAAGCAAAATGATAGTAATTAAATACTTATAAAATTAAGGGAAATTGTAACAAATACCACTTTCCTAATACCATTTTTCATTTATACATTAATCAACTTTACCACTAAATTTTTAATAAGCAAAATACAATTATACCCCTAACTAGTAAAACCTAAAACTACTGTTGTCTTCTTCCCCTGGACATCCAATAATCTGACAGATTCGACGATTGTGACGAGTTTTCCGGCGAGCTTTGAAGATGATGACGAGTTCTCCGGCTTAATCTGACGATGTTGATGAGTTCTCCGGCGATGCACGAACGAGACGATCTCTCCGGTGAGTTTCCAATCTTTGCCAACAGTACTATTCATATTCCCATCAATGATGCTTATCTTTACTTGGTGGGACGGAGTAAACGGAAGCTGCCCTTTTGATCACCGGCGGCGACGGCGGCGATGGAACGGTTCTGTTGTGAAATTGACTTTCAACTATGTTGTTATCACTACTCTGCTTCGTAAAGTTCATCTCTTTTACATCAATACTCTGCTTTTCCACTTCTTCATCCTCCTCCTTCACCTCCTTCTCCTCTTCTTCTTCTTCACCCTCCTCTTCGAGGCGTGTGACTCTCACTCGTTCCCGGCGTCTTCTCAGCAGGCGAGGATGAGGACTCATGAGAATGTCAAGAGATTCGCTAGGAATTACGCATCTTGTTCATCGTCTTCTTCGCTTGTGCATTGTATGGCTTCTTTTATCTTCTTTGCTTAGGTTTAAATCTTTGTAAAGTTTAAAACTTTATGGGAACTATGTTTGAGTTTGAAGGTGTTGATGTTTGTGTTTCTTTGTTTAGGTTTAAAGCTTTGTAAAGTTTAGAAATTTATGGGAACTATGTTGGATTTTGAAAGTGTTGGTGTTTGTGCTTTGTAGATAACCCAGGCCGTCTGACATGCTGCCCGTGGATAAGATGAAACTTGAATGTTTCTCCTCCTGTTTATATGGATCTTTGTTCAGTCCCAAAGCTTGATAAGNTTGATAAGGTTCTCTTTGGTTTGGATTTGCCATTAATTGAGGGAAAGTAGAAGCTCTTTGATGATTATTCAGTGGTTAGTCTCGTGGTCTCTGCTCCACCGGGGTGCGGGAAAACCACATTGGTTACTCAGCTTTGTCATGATGACGAGATCATAGGTACTAAAGTCTTCTCCTTTTATTTTTTTACTCTTGAATTTCTTTTTCTGTATGTTACATTATATTCGATCTCTTTAGTTAGCTGCACTACTTGTAATTATACTTGTAGTTATGCCATTTGTATATAACGAGAAACAAAGAGTTAGTTTGTTAAATCCATTGCCATTCTACTCTGCAGGAACTTCATTTGCATGGAAACTCCATCGGAGATGAAGGGATTCATGCTTTGATGGCTGGTCTAGCTTCCCACAAAGGTTTTTTTTTTTTTGTTTCAGCTGGTTTAATAGAACACTCTTCATATGTCAAAGATTAACTCTTTCTTACCTCTACCTGTGTGCAGGGAAACTGGCTCTGCTTGACCTCGGTAACAACTCCATCACCGCAAAGGGTGCCTTCTATGTAACGGAATACATCAAAAGAAGCAAGAGCTTGGTTTGGTTGAACCTTTACATGAATGATATAGGCGATGAGGTTACACATCAAAATTTATAACCATGTTTCTTTATGCTCTGGTCTCTATCTTAATAATTATCAATGGGTTCAGGGAGCTGAAAAGGTTGCAGATGCTCTGAAGCAAAACCGTTCAATGCAACCATTGACATTGTGAGAAATGACATCTTCTACTCCAGTCTATCCCTATGTATTATTGAGCTATTTGTGGATGTTAAACTCAATTTTTTTTTTTAATATAAAATAGGGTGGATGTAACAGAGGGAAGTCTGTTTGAGGCATCAAAGGGTTCTGATAGGTCGTGATCGTCTGGGCATCTACAGTTGGTGGTAATCAGTTTATCATCAGGGATTTCTTGGCTGCAAGGTTGTCTCAGGATTATTGAAACATGGCTGATATGTTTGATGTTTTTTTTTTCTGAGACNGAATCTTCTTTGTTTCCCGTTCCAAGATCTGTAGCTATAGTGCTAGTTTCTTGGTGCTTTTGAAATTTAGACTCTCTATTATTATATTACTGAAGAGTTTTGCTACCATTTTAATATCCTCATTTATAAATAGTTTATAGATTTAATAAATTGTTTTATAAGCCTTTATAAATAGGATGGACTTACAAATAATTTTACAAATCTTTATAAATTGTTTTATAAACCTTTATAAATTGTTTTTATAAACATTTATAAATTATTTACATATCCTTATAAATCCTTATAAATCCTTATAAATTATCATACAACCCATTATTTAGGTGTCATTATAAGCTTTTCTTTGTTACGACATCCTTCAAGAGACCGGCGGCTCTGCATAAAAGAAAGAAAAAAACATTATTTATAATCTTTCATAAATTTCTTATAAATATTTATAAATGGTTTATAGATTTAATAACTTGTTTTATAAGCCTTTATAAATGGTATAGACTTACAAATAATTTTATATATTTTTTATAAATTGTTTTATAAGCCTTTATAAAGGTATATAATCTTTATAAATTGTTTTTCTAAACATTTATACATTATTTACATACCTTTATAAACCGTTATTTTTATTCTTATATATGTTTTATAAACCCTAATAAATTATTTAAACGCCTTTATTAAATGTTTTAACTTATTAAGCGCCTTTATTAATTGTTTTAACTCTTGTCTCTTCTATCAGCTTGTTAGCATGTTTCCAAAGAATATCAAACACAATTGCTGTCAAATACCTCCAAATCAACCCATCCTTTAACAACAAACCTGAAACGCTTCTCTTACATACTCCCTCCCTTGATTTACAAAGATTTATTAGAAATTATAAGCACTTATAAATAATTTATAAACCCTTATAAAGGATTTACAAACTCTTATAAATGATTTATAAGCATTTATAAAATGTTTTAAGACTTTATAATTGAATTATCTTTAGAAATTCTACAAATCCTTATAAATAATTTTATAAACCCTTATAAATAATTTTATATATTCTTATAAATGATTTATTGATTATTATAAAAAAGTTTATATATATTCTTATAAACTGTTTATAAAACAGATTTAAAAGGGTTTATAAATGGTACAAACCCTTTTAAATTCTTAAAAATGAAATACCAAGTTTTTGCACATTTATGAAATTTTATTAATTGATTTATAAGGGTTTATAAATTTATTTATTAGAATTTATAAATTGATTTATACGGATTTATAAATGAATTTATAATGGTTTATAAATGGATTTACAAGTGTCTATAAACTAATTTATAAATGTTTATAAACTGAAATAGAATAAACTGATTTTTTTCTGTGTTATAAAATGATTTATACAGGTTTATAGTTTGATTTGAAAGAATTTATTTGCATGATCCCAAGAACTACTAAGATCGAAAACCTCAATAAGAACATTGGAGTTTTGTCTGTGAAACTCACTCCTGAAGATGTCTGAACTAGAGACCATTGGCCACCCAGATTCCATGAAAGGAGAAAGGTTCAGTAACATAGTGCCTAACTTTAAGAACTCAGACACTCCACCATTGTCTTCTTGGAGGACTGCTTTAATGCCATTTGAAAGTTTCTCGGGCTATGGTAGTNTTGTCTGTGAAACTCACTCCTGAAGATGTCTGAACTAGAGACCATTGGCCACCCAGATTCCATGAAAGGAGAAAGGTTCAGTAACATAGTGCCTAACTTTAAGAACTCAGACACTCCACCATTGTCTTCTTGGAGGACTGCTTTAATGCCATTTGAAAGTTTCTCGGGCTATGGTAGTACAGGAGGACAGCATGCTGCGTTTTGGTGCACTCACCTTTGTCAATCCCCATTGGGTTTCTTGACTCTGCTTCAAAAATGTTCTTTAACCCATTCAGGTTTGTTCCCTTGTCTTTTTGAACTTCAGCTCCTCTTAATGTTCAATGAACAGTATAAGTCTCTCTGAGTAAAGTTCCAATTATAAATAATTTATAAACGATCTAGTTAGCCCTTATAAATAATTTATAAGATATAGTTTATTAATTTCTAAAAATGGTTTATAGAGTTCTAAAATTGTTTATAACCTTTTAAAAAGACTAAGTAACTCTAATAAATGATTTATAAAACATTTATATATGGTTTGTAAACATTTATAAATCTTTATAAATGATTTATAAACATTTATAAATTGTATAAATCCTTATAAAATCGTATAAGAAACTTAAGCTCATGTTCTCATAAATCTTTATAAAGATCTATAAATGAAG